GTGAAGCGAGGGCGTGGATTTTACCTGTTATTTGCCTTAGCATGGTAGTATTTGGAATTTGTGTCTCCTTCAAAACAATTCCTTTTCATGAGATGATCTTTGCAGCCACTTTATTCCTTCTTATTTAAGAATGATTCTCAAATCCCTTTGACAGTTCTGTTTATGAAGTCTATCGATAGAATTTAAACAACTAATCTCTTCTAAATTATTCAGCATATCAATTTCCTCAATAAGATTTTTTTTATGTCTCCTATAGACAACTTCAACATTCAGTTCCATCCTTTTAGAACCTTCCTAAGAGCTCTAGCTCTAACCTGCCATTTCTCCATTAAGGAAGAATCAGGGTAATTTTATACCACACTTTCCTCACCACGTCATCCAAGGCAGGCCTTTGAAACCAAAACTTTTCAAATTTGCAAACATATTGTTTTTTTGTAAGTTTCACTGATGATATGAGGAGAGTAGTGTGGTCAGACACCTCCCTAGTCAGAGCAGTGGCATGGACTAGATGGAATTTCCTCTCCCCTGATGGAGAAATCAAAACCTTGTCCAATAATGCATAAGTGAGGTTCTCATGATTATTAGACCAGGCGTACTTTCTACCAAAGTAATTCCATCATTCCCCTAAGAAGATTACTAAATTGAAAAGAACACTGCATTATTATAACCTCAAGGCTTATTTTTATCACTAGATTTTTGTCGCCATGTTAAAGTCACTAGCAATTAATAAAGGTCTATTGGAGTTTGTTTTAGCAAATGCAGTAGCTCAACCAAAAAAGTTGGTTTATCAATTGGTTGAGCATCACAATAAACAATTACCAGACCCCAACGAAAGTCATCTGCAACATTTTTAACACTCAACTTAACATAGTATTCCCCGGATTCATGATTATCCTTAACCAGAGTGGTGTTATTAATTCCCACCAAAATACCACCAGATCTACCTTTTGGAGGTAGAAAAGTCCAATCAAAGTTGTCTTACCACTTAAAACAGATAACTCCAGTGGTTAAAATTGGTGTTTCGTGGTTTCTTGAATGCCCAGAAAATCCAGACTATTCAAACTAATTTGCTCCTTGATAAATTTTCTTTTCTCATCATCTCTAGTCCCCCTAGAATTCCAAACAAGCCCTCTTAGCATTATTACTTATAAAAAAGAAATTGATCACTAGGACTTCTTTGTCCTCTTCCTTCTCATAGTTTTAACTGCAGCAGCCTCATAGTGAGAGTTGTTTGCATTCACTCCACCCCCTCTAAAACCAAACATGTCTATGTGGAAATTCTTGATTGTCTCGGTATCATCATCTCCCTCTCTACTCATGTGTAATAACTCTAGTGGAATAGAGTCAACATCATCAGAATGTAGAACCCGAGTATTAGATTTCTCTTTCTACTAGCCAAAAATAACTCCATCCTAGCCTTCTCATGGGACTTAATTGGATCAATATTAAATTGTACCATATCCAGAGAACCCCCCAGATCAACCCCAATTAAACTAGCCAACCATATCAACCAGTTTAACATTGTCAGATTGCAAAGTAGTAGCATCAGGATGCATACCTTTAGAGCAGCCCAAGTTCTTGGATCATGCCAATGACATGGCCCTGTCTATAATAGGTATAGGTTTTTGGACGCAATCCTGCCACTAAACCTTTTCCCCTAATCTCCTTAATTTTATTTTTGTCCCCTTGTTTGCTGACCATCTCTATTTCATTTACATCTAGTTGAATTCCCAGCTTAGCCCCAAGCTCATAGATGGGAACCTTCTCCTTCTGGATCTCATCAGAGATATGGACTTTTTCACCATCCACATTACCTGAATTTTTGCCTCCATTTACAGAAACAGAGTTAGACGTAGGATTCTTCTTAGTATTTTTGACATCAATAGTTTTTTGATTGGTAAAAAAGAAGATCAGCCTCATCTTGTTATTTTAAGTCAGCATCCCTTTGCTCCATGCCCATTTTGGTTCTTGTACTTGCACAAATGTGGCTGGACACCACTCCATCATTACTAGTTTTAGCTCTTTCGTGTCTCTGCTAGACTCCTCATTATGCTGGAAATCCATCCAATCTTCATATCCTTGTGACCACTCATACTCACTTTTAGACCATCCCTCATCCACAACCATTTCCAATTTCAAAGAAAATTTTGTAAACCATGAGACTTGGAGTAGTGAGCTTGGTACATCTTGGAATTTTGTGATGGTCCACTACAACAACCTTAAGCCTGACTTGGCATGGTCCTTGGAAGGTATCCACCTCTTGAGTAAACCCAATCATAGATAACTTTCCAACAACAAGAGAGTCGTCATTCCACAAACTAACATTAATAATGACATTTCCTCCTTTCAAAGGCACCCAATCATAAACATCAGCTTCACTTATTCTGGCAACAGAAGGAAAATTGACCAAAAAGGCCACATCATGTACTCTTTTCGCCTTGCAATCCCATCTCCAGGGATAGGTCTTAGTCAGGTTCTTGATAAGAATATCAACATCTATACCAATATCACACCCATCCCTCAGCCTAACCAAAACAACAACCTCATTTTTCTCTGATGCGCTTAATTCCTTTGCATGTACTGCACAAAGCAACCAAGCCCTTCACCTCCGAATCCAACAAGTGTAGCTACATGTTTCCTTTGATGTAAACGGTCACAAAAATCATGTATATGAGTTTTCTTATTGAAAACCACACACTTTACTTTTGCTTCATAGCCTTGGGAACTATGCCCCTTAACACCACATCTATGACAGATAATCTTCTCTCTTACAAGAATCTTTCCCCCTGATGCCCGAGGAGCCATTGAACATCCCACTAAGACTGCCCCAGCAAAATTGGCTTTTTTGACTGAATGTCCGCATCACCATTGCCTCCAGCTCCCTAGTTATTAACACCACTTTGCACAATATGCACTGGATTAGCTACATGTTGCTTCTGATGATAACTAGATGCATGTGGTATTATTGTTCTGAAAAGGCGGCCTATGCCGGTACTGATTGCTTGCTCCTCGATTCCTCCATCAAAGCCCACTCACTATAATTGGAGTCCTGGCGCGGGTACTAAGTGTTCTGGAAGTTGGTACATTGGTGATTTCTCGCCGGCGGCCGGGATTGGTACTGTTGGTTCTGATCGAACTGCCCTTGCTGATAGTTGCGATCGAAATTTGCGTTCCCTCTCCCTCCACCTCCTCCTCCATCACTTCTACCTCCACCCCCACGCACAGGTCTGTATCCATCCCCCATATCAGCATCCCAGCTACCCTGAACCCTAGAAAGGGAGGAGGAACAACACCAAAGATTGGAAAACAAGGAGCTCAGATGCGAGTTAGGGTTAGGAGACGATGAAGTACCACCTCTCCCTTCCACAGGCCGCTCCGAGACTACTTTTTCCTCACTTGGCTTTGAGCCCACAATCCTTTTGCCAGGCCCAGTGCGGCCTAAAGTGCGAACTGAGACAAAAAATTCCTCCCGCAAAAAAATATCATTGCGTAAATATCCTTCTCTACGGGTCAGAGATCGAGTGGTGAGCGGCGCTCCGGTCATTCTGGCGATGTAGGAGAACACACTTGACCATCTCGTTCCATAGGTAACTAGACGGGCTCAGGGTCGTCTCCTACCTCCTCAGGCTTCCCATGGACAATTATAAACCAGGAACTAGAACCCCGTATCGAATTCGAGTGCGAAAACGAAACAGGATCAAGCAAGCGACATGGCATGGTGTTGACATACCTGAATTTCGGCGATACCAATTTTCCAGGGATTGAGAACATTTACGCCTTAAGCAACTCGCAATGACATCCGTCCTCGCTTTGTTCTGCTTTGTTCTTCTTCAACGGTTTCTTCCCGGAATGATTATATGCATGAATCAGAGC